CGGAATGGTTTTCTATCCCGAAGAGTCACGAAAAGAAAGCGCTTCGGCCCTTCTTTTATCCCTTATCAATTGAATATCTCCCTTCGGTGCTCCCAGCCCCCAGCAGAATTCTCATCCTCTCGGAGGAGATGTCATCGACGTGCCTGTGTTTTGATATTTATGACCAACTGTATATTATATACAGGGTGACTCGATATTGCCAGTTCCAATGTATTCAGCGTCACACGTACATTTGATGTCGTGCATTTCCAAACGCTGAGGTATCTATTTTAGAATTTTTTCTTTACTCAACGCTTATATATCCTCTATCTGTTTAGTAGTTTTGTTTTTCCTTTTTCTTAGATCTCTTCTTCTGCCTCCTCTTCCTGTCGAACTTTCCTCCGATTAAGTCTCCTGGACCGTGAACCTTCCAGGAGGCGCGAAGCTTCTCGCGTGGGTTACCAAGTCTGGTCGGTGCGAGTTCATGGTTTCCAGTAGTTGTGAGCATAAGAGTAGGAGTGGATGTGCGCGTAGGTGTGGTATAAGCTCCTCTCGTGCTGCGCAAGGCAATACAGATTTATGTAAGTATTTAGCACAGGCTCTTTGCTTTATCGCGAACCGCCCAGCCGAGACGACCTCCTTCCTAAACATCCCTGAGGTCGGACCAAGTTTTCTATTATTTTTATTTACACCGTAAATGATCAGTCTATCTGTCGGAGCTGAGAGTAGAGAATTAATCGGTTGGCCGGAGAACCCTTGTAAAATTGAAAATGCTCGAAATACGACTAGGTGCCCTTAAATCCTCCCTCGTAGGCAAAGAGAAGGGCGAAAGTAGGTTAAGACGTATTTTATGAAATATCCCAGCAATATCTAGGCCGACGGGAACTTTTAATCCCGAAGCTCCTATTCCTGCGAGAGGATCCTCCCGTGTGTCCTCGGGAGGAAGTCTGTGCCGAAGAGACAAGAAGAAGGATTCCGTGCAGCGAAGCATAAAGAAGGTAAAAGCCATCGATATCGCATCGAGATGGACCAGCGGCGAATCGTTCCTCTACGCGGCGAAAGGCCTTAAGTCGTATGAAATTCTCTGTGGAAAAATAAGTCCAGGAGGAACTAATCAAGCGTGTCTTCCAGCTGTTGGAGGCTCAAGAGCAAGCTCAGTTCCAGTGACGAAGAGGCCTCGTAATTAACTGAACTTGTCAGGCGCTCGATGTTCATAGCTATAGAGACAATGACAGCCGCTGCTAGATACTGGCCGATTTCTTAGGCAGAGCTAATAACTGGCCGGGATCTTAACGCTGTCTTAAGTCCCTCGTGTAACATAAATTATGTATCGCCTGAGCGTAAGATGCCGAAATCCCAGGAACACCTGGTATACGTTTCAGGCGTTTACGCCCTAGAAGAGCTTCAGGTTCATGGAAAAGCCGAAGCCGAAGACGAAACTGAGGTAGAAAGTGGCTGCGCCGGAATCTACCCTTGCTCGGTAGGACCCTCCGCAGCGCCCCGCGTTCCGCCGCGTCCGCCGTGCGGCGTCTTACGAACTGAGGTCCCTAAATTTTCTCCAAGTCTATAAGGGTTAAGGAATTAACTGCGGGTAGCGAGAGAGGAGAGGAAGATATAGAAGGGGATGGGCTTAATAACCTAACCTAGAAGCAGGGGTAGAAAGGACCGGAGGCCCTTGCCGAAAGCCATTACAAGGATTTCTTTTATTTACGGTCGCGAAAAATGCCCCCAAGGTCTTCCAGCAGCTAAGTGGTATGATCTTACGTGCTTAGTTTCCTCTCAGATAGATCTTCGACCGAGTTTAGTCCAGCTACTCTCTAACGTGTCCGACTCCGCCTCAGCCTCCGGCTGCTCGTGCGGCATCAGAGAAGTGCCTGGATATTTTGCTCTAGATCAATTAAGGGATTATTTCCCGGGATATTAACTTCTGATTTCTCTAGCTGCTCTTTCTTGATTGGCCAGCGGCGCCTAGTTGTATTCCACGCGGCACGTTGCCAGGGTAGAAATAACGATAAATTAATAAGATTAATTAAGGCCACAGTAGAGAGGGCATCCGACCCTCCCTGAAACTTATCCAGAAACTCGGAACCGTTCCTGGACTCCTTCCTCTTCGGTAGGATCTCCTCTTATGGCTCATTACTTTCAATCGCCTAGAGGTCTTTCAGACTCTTAGCGACTTTAGCCCCGAGTCGTAATTTTTAGTATGGCGTAGCGATAGCCGCCACGGGGTGGGATTAAAGAATAAGAAGAAGGAGCAGGGACTGACTTCATTTATACGACCTCATCTAGTAGCAGTCCCGTCCAACGAGCGTCTCGTGGCACATCATCCCTTAAGGATTATGAGGCCAATCCTGCGCCTAATTTGCGAGGCCTCGAAACCTCCCTCCTGACCCACCCCTCATCTTTCTCATCGCAGCCATCGCGTCTCCAC